ACCGTTTTGGTCACCCCTGGGGCATTCCTAACCACCGTGACCTCTACATCCGGCTTCAGTTGAGAGTTGCTCGTTTGGCTGACTTGAGCCGGAACGTCGTCTCCCCTTTTGTCTACCTCCATGTCTTTGATGCACTCGAAGAAGAATAACAAAGTTGTTGGGCTATACGGTGTGGAAGAGCGTCTGGTCCTTGAGCATCTCTTGCGTTTGTCTCCCCCCGACCTCAAGCAATGATGACGCGGGCAGGGCTTTCTCGTCATTTCTCGTTCTTTACATGCTCTGTATATTGTTTTTTGATAGGCTTTCCCCTCGTTGCATTTCGATGCGCGAAAGACGCAATTTAGAACACTTGCTCGCCGTATAGCCACTCCCAGGGCGTGACTTAATATGTAAGCGTTTCTTGGTTCGCTATTCGTTGCTCGTTGTTCTTATTTGCCATTGCCGCAGCTCATTGGCTGAAGAGCGACTATATGATACTCGGAACTCCAGAGTAAATTTTTCTTAAACTGTCATCAACTACAGTTTGTGCATGTAGGGCAAAATACTGCAGACAGGACAATGACAACCAAGTGAGACAGGAAAGGCGACAGTTTTCAAACAGCTTTCAACTGTACATGCCCTTTCTCGAATATAGGTATAATCTCTAACAGCTCAGGAAAGGAAGAATCAAGCTTGTCGCTTCGTGATTCGATGGTTGACTTTCTAACGCCGGAATCGCATTGGCTGCGAAGATGATTGTAAATGCCTGGAACTTCCCACGTCATGCGTTCCATCAGCCGCCAGTCACTTTAGTTGAAACTTAAGTGGTTGTCCTTTCTTGCTTCCATGATCTTGTCCCATTTCCGCTATCTTATTTGTACCAATAAGAAATGTAAGTACGCCAGTTGATATATACTACTCGTGCATATGTCAATAGTCAATAGGATTAATATTAATATATGATACGTACATTTACACTCGGTGATATCACACTCACCGAAGCTCGGAAATAATTCACAATATTGAAGGAAGATAAACAACTCCACATTCATAGATATCTTTATCTCCGAGGTGAAGATGCATTCTGATTTATACAGTTGTCAAGTTTATAAAGAGCCAGTTTGTGTTATGCGAAATTTCACTGACGTCTGGCAACACTGTGCGCGCGGCCTTCATTTACAATCCTGGTTATGTAAAGAATCTCCGGTGTTCTGGGGGGGGGGGGGGGGGGGGGGGTTGAAAAGGGGTGGGGCAGTTGTTAATGCGACGCTTCAGCGTCGTCACTTTTCAAGTTTGTGACACTCAATGGGAACGGTAGGTTTCGCTGTGAAGCCTCTCAATTCCGAGGACACTTAATTCTTTGTTTGCCGCCAAGGCGCCATGGGGAGTCGAAAAACTTTAATACTTGTGTTCTCCTTTTTTGTTTTTCTTTTTTTTTCGTTTAGGGGTTATTATGTCAGTATTGGACCAGATCGTGTGCACACGCCTTAGTTTTGAATAAAGCGTACCATTAAGCATGCGAAGCTCAGGATTATAAAGCTTTTGGGCTCTTATTGGTGAAGGCTTTAAGCGGTGAAAATCTCCGCGCTCTCGTGATGCTGACTGTGCTTCGGTATACCCTTGTCGGCGTTGCGAAGTGCGCAGATCGGTTGTAGCTAGTTCCTGCTTCAGAAGATTCCGGCGCCTTACAATGGTAAAAGACGGGTATACCCAGCCCTGGCTCATACGTCATTTCGCTGGCGGTCTTGTAAAACACTGCCTGCTATTGCTTTCGTAATAAACCAGATTTTGATCTTGACTAAGGCAAAGGAACTGAGAGGTCCCAAAATGATGTTGACATCCTTAGTGTTGATCCCCTCTGCGACCGAATCATGCCGTTGGTTTATTGCAGTAGCCGCGATCAAACGCTATTTTCTGCGCTTGGACTTGGCAAGAAATGGCAGACGACTGTCGCTCTCCAGCTGAACCGTCCACGGAAATTTCAGCAGTTAAGAGTTGGGATTCCGCGGCGACAGCATCATCTGTGTTCGCTAGTCCCTTTTGCGAGGACGTCAGCGCCAACCGTCGGAATCGCGACCTTCAACAGCATGATCCACCGACCCGTGTGACTTCATTTCTTGCCACTTCGGGACCCTTCTGATATTAGGGCAGGAGAGGGCGCTAAATACACCAGTTTATGGTGCGTTCTAGGCACCATAAAATGAGCTTTAAGAAAACAGATAGCGAACTCTTTGTACAAGAGTTTAGGAGCATTTCTGCCTCGTTGTCTGCTTGTCTTATTGCAATGAGTCAATAAGGTTCTATGTCTCCCTCATCTTATAATTCTGCCACACACGTATCTTCAAATCAAGTTTTTGGTATACAATTTGAACCTTCACATGATCACAATATTTTCGCTCCCCGCTAAGAGGCGTGTCGTTGTCCGCCTGTCCTGTAAATTCCCTCCACTGAGATTCATTGTTGATTTACGCTGGGCTATATTCCTTTTTACACGTATATGCATTTATTTACATCTGGCAAAATATCATTGTTGCATTTACGCAGATAAACGCATAGTAAGTCCGCAGATGGTTTAGAATCTTTAGATAATCCTGATAGCTAAGTTCATGACACCTATTTATCAATTCAGAATCTCATCCCCGGTGAATGTTTCTGGGCACGAGCACGTGGCACGGAATCAAAAAGACTCATCTATTGATTTGTATCATATGAAATTAAATAAATATATCCTCGCATTTCACCTAAAATAGAACCAGCACATTTCAGTTTTGTAAAAACAATTGGAATCGACAAAACATATCTAATTGGGATCGAACCGTGCGCGGACATCAGGATGTTTCTTCGCATTTTCGCCAATTTTTAACACGGTATGTGTTGTATCACCCGAATACTAGGACAATACTGTTACAAAAGAGCCACCATGTAAAATCGTCCCAACAATCTCCCTGCGAAATTTAATGATGCAATTAACATCACGTAACTACGTCGCGGGACCTCGCCACGTGAGATCAATTTCCGCGCTTCGGTCATCAGGCAAAACAACATAACGGAACCAGGTTATGAAACCTCAAATCACGTGACGCATGTTTCTGCGAGTTGATGGTTTGAACTCAAGACATTCTGTGGCCCTCTGGTCCTTGTCAGCATGATCAGGCCTCCGTAATAGACAATTCTCGAAAGTGCGCACCATTTAGCAGCTGCTTGCGCCAATGATCCGAAAATGCCAATATTTGAGCACGTGCTCTGAGCAGGGATGGGCAGTATTTCAAATACAAGTGTTTGAAATACGTATTTCAAATACTTTTTTGTATTTTTCATTTGTATTTAATTACAAATTGGGTAATGTATTTGACGTGTGTATTTAAATATTAAAACGTGGTTCTTTGAAACACAATTGTAATTAAATACAATTTTGTGGGCGAAAATACATCCCTCAAATTTATTGTCACTGTCCAGAGCAGGAAGAAAACTACGTTCTGCACCGAATGCAGTGTCTCTCAATCAAGCACAAGCGTTTAGTGACTTTGTGATTACGGTGCTAGTCCAGGGCAAGGATAGTGACGAAATCGACGTTCACAGGCAGACTGGCAAAATAAGGGCCTGTGACAACCTGTGATGCTTTCCAGCCTGATTTCCACCCATATTTTTGCCTGGAACATTCTAAATGCGCGGGTCGTTCAGATTTTCGTAACTGGTGCGAGTTGCAACGAAATAAAATTCTCTAGCTAGTGCTGCGCGTCTTGGTCGTCTCGGTTCTTCGTTGGTCTATACAAAAATGTAATGGACAAAAAAAAGCTGCTTGAAGCTCTGTACTTTTTTCACCTATTACGTCCAAGCTGATTCATTTTTTATTATATTTCTATTACGTTACTAGAGCCTCGCACACTAACTCCCGAGTGTGCGATGCAAAATTAAAATGAGATACCAAGAAACCCGTTGCAGGTACCCTGAAGTCGCTGACGCAAATTTTGAGGAATGTATTTGGAAAAGTATTTGGAGGAGACCAAATGGATTTGGTTGTATTTGTATCTTGTACTTAAATGCTTTTTTGGAAATGTAATTAGATTTGTAATTAAATACATTTTTGACGAAGTATTTTGTATTTGTATTTCGATACATATTTGCATGTATTTTGCCCATCCCTGGCTCTGAGCACGCACTGGACGCGAGGACTGTGTCAGCGTTTGGCCTGTAGTCGAATCCAACCACACATTATGCCAAGAAATGGCGGCCACCATGGTTGCTTGATCTGGTTATCAAAAGGAACTAATGTTACCAAGCAAAAACTGTATGCTCATAGAGAAATTAAAAAAAGAATGGAGAAAATTCATCCTCCCGCTCCATCCACGCACACATAAACTCACAAAAATCGCGTTAACTAATGAGAAAAAACATTTGATAGCAAATAACCACATAGATATGTCTGCAATTACTAAATATTAAGGTAGGCTAGTTGGCAAAGCGTTGTTAACATGAATAGCTCGGAGGACACACAAGGACATAGCCACGCGGACGGAATTACACTTCGTTTTATCATATGTAAGAACGGAGTCAAAGGCACGGACGAGTATATTAAAAGCGCAAGTTAATGGGCCTTCCTTGTGCGTGAATGGCCAAGTTATAATAGAACACGCGCAGAAACACCACGAAAACTATGACGTTGCGATTTTAACGCTGTTTCATTGATTCCATGGGATCGTTAGGTTGGGTGTGTAAGGTGTAACGAAGTAAAAAGCTACAGTTACATCACATTTAAAAAAAAATTTATTAGAAACATGGAGGATAAGTTCGGGGAGGGAAGGAGAGCAGAAAAGTTGCAAGAAGCAAAAGTATGCGAGGAAGGTGGTGTGGAAACATCCTAATCTAAATTCTAAGCGACGGAGAAATATAATAACGGACAAAACGTACGACTTTCATCCTTCATATTATCTGCCGGTGCCTCAGGAACTAGATTGTGACATAAGACCTGTTCTGCGTTTATCAGCTGAAAAACTTGTTGCTATGTGAAAAGTGCTACTCACATTCGGCAGTTTCAGAAGGCTGTTTGTGAAGACTGGCAGCTACAATTCGGTGCGTTGCGCATTTATGGCCCCCCTGCAAGCAACCTAAATGCATAGTTTCGTTTTGTTATCTTTGTTTCCACAATTTCTTTTCACGCTCACATTTGCAAACCTCAGACGAGAGTTCAAGTTACCGCAGTCCAGTTCACCTTACGATAAACCGCAGCGGATGCTACGTATCACACTAGCCAATCTGGCGCTTTGGCCGCACCACGTGACTAAGCGCCCCGACCGTGGCGGCGTCCCTCCGGAAGGTCACGTGATGCGCACGCTGCACGGGATTGGCTCCGATGGCTTGTAGTGTCCTCTCGGGTCCATCGAACGGTGAAACAAATTGTACGTAATTGAGCTCGACTTCTAGGTTGCCTCTCGCGGCTTCAAAGATAGCAGATAGTTAGGCAATCGGGGGAGAAGGAAGACGTCTACTCGAGAAGGTCCGTCGACTTGATTCAGCAGTTACTGGATTCGGACTGCGTCTTAATTTTACGCTGCTGCCTGGAGTTCCTAGAACTGGATGTTGCATCTTTATTCTTTATTCTTCATTTCTTGTTTTTTATTCAGAGAACTCCTGCGGCGCCTAGAAGGCATTATTGCAAAGGGTGAATAATAACGAAAAGAACGTCTCAGCATTTGCAGCACAAACTATACATTCCTGTAATGCTTCCCAGTCCTTGATCGCGTCCTCACAAAAAAACGAATTTTCGCAGAGCTCCGTCCTAGTACAGTATTCGCGTATCTTGTGCACACGATCATTACGTTTGGAAAAATAATTTGGTATGAAGAGGTATGCTGAGCTATTACTACCAGTAGCTTCATAATCAATGTTGTACAAAAATTTCGACCGTAAATATTTTCGCCGAAGGTCCAATGACGACCATCCTAGTGATTGTTTCATGTTAGTTACTAGAGAAAAACGGTCGTACTGGCCCAGGGCGAAGCGTGCGGCACGATTTTGTATTATTTTCCGAGCCATCAATGCGATATTTTCTGGAAGGGTCCCACACAGGACATACGTAATCTAGAAGTTTCCTTACATAGTCAAGATACGCTAGTTCTTTTATTTTTTGTGTAGCGTTTTTTAGCTTTCTTTGGACAAAGCTAAGTGCGCGACCCGCCCTCATAATGACATCATCAATCTGCGAATCCCACGTGCAGTCGAATGACAAAATGATTCCGAGGTATTTTACTCTATTCTCATTCGTTACTAGGTCATTGCTTAAATAATGCTGTTTCTCAACTTTTTTTTTTACGTGTGAAGCTATCATAAACACATTTCTTTACGTTAAGTTGCATCCCCAATTCATCGCACCAATGTTTTATTCGATCTAGGTCAGCCTGCAGTTGTCCGGAACCCTCCCCGTTTTTTATACGCGTACACACACCGCAATCATCTGCAAATAATCTCAGCTGGGAAGTTACATTGACATGAATATCGTTGATAGAGATTAAGAATAACAATGGCCCCAGAACCGACCCCTGTGGTACACCAGACGTAACTTCAACAAAATGAGACGCCTCGCCGTTTCAAATTACACATTGCTGACGCGAAGACAAGTATGACTGAATCAATTTTAGTGTGGTAATATCTATTTTCAAACAATTCAATCTGTGAAGTAAGAAAACACAATCAGTTTGTTCACCTTTACCTACGGACATGACAAGATCATGATGGAGCTCGGTTAGTTGCGTGATACAAGAATAACCTCTCCTAAACCCGTGTTGAGAATCTATGAAAAATTCATGGTAACTAAGATGCTGCATTACCTGGCAATACAAAATATGCTCAAGTAGTTTGCAACAAATTGATGTTAAAAAAATTGGCCTGTAATTTGTAACATCTTTTTGGGGTCTCTCCTTGTGTATTAATATTGTATTACATGAGCTGCTTTCCAATCATTCGGTAATGACCCCTTAAGCAAAAACTGATTGAACATTGTAAAAAGATATGGGGCAATGGCGTCAGCACAGCGCTTCAGAACCCTAGGCGAAATTTGATCAGGGCCAATCGCTTTAGTTTCGTCTAAGCTTTTTAGTAGCTTTAGTACTTCCTCGACACTAACCTCAACTGGAGGCATATCATCGTATCTGTTTTTAAGCGTTACTGGCATTATATTGTTCGCAGGCGAAAAAAAAACGATTGAAAATATTCATTAAAAATGCAAGCTTTTTGACGGGCATCTGTATACTTAGTTCGTTATATACTAATAAGTCAGGTATTCCCATCTGGTCATTTCCACAACGTTTCATAAACTCTCCTAAACCCGGTACTATTGCAGTTACACTTTGCTGTAGTTTTACAGTGTTCTGGAGTGCGTGCAAGCCGTTATGTAAGATATCTTCAGTACTGTGCAGTCATGTTTCCTTAATACGGACGGCGTTAATATGGACACACCAATTTTACACAAGGTTTCATGGTCGAATTCTGGAAACGCATGCCTCGTTATTATGGGAAACTCACACTATGGACAATTTCCAGGGGAATAGGAATATGATCATATTAACGGGACATTGCTGTAATTACTTCAGTTGCACTTCTCGGCAGCTTTGCTTTGTTTTGTCGAGCCCGCAGTTATTTCTCGCAGGTCATTTATCAGGTACTTATTCAGGTTGACCTGATCCCCAAAAAGGTTGGCACAATTTTTAATGGAAATCACTTATTCTTTATCTTTATTTGATGCCTTTGCCAGGCACTTGTTTTTACCCCTAAAAAGCACTCATTTTGCGCGCATATAAAAGATTGCCTATTTAAAAAAACAAAAACACTCGAACTACAAGACGGCTGTGATATTGAAGTGTACAAAAGTAAGCACCTCATTTATTCAACGCTTCTGTCAAAAAATTTTGGATATCAGAATTATGTTCTCAACCTCAAAATTAGACGAGACAACCAAAACACAATGCAATATATTTTCATTACATTTTGCACAGTTTACAGGCTAAGGGCCATATTGTCACAGGTGGTGACCAATAAACAAGAAATGAACAGGAAGAAATAAACGTTTAATGCGGCGAACGTTTGCCAAAATAAAAGGGTAGAAAAGATAATAACAGAGCGTCGCGGGCGTCGAAGTCGGCGTAGCAGCAGAGTCGAACGCTGGGGCGAAACTGACTCCGGCTTGCCACGCGGAGCCGCTTTTGTACACGCGTTGGCTTCTGGAGCATTCGACGTAGAAGGTTCGACGCGTAGAACATTCTAAACTCGTATCAGCTAGACGGTTCTCGAATTCACCAGAACATCTCATTACAGTGTCAACAAAAATGCGTAGCCGCGGCCAGGAATCGAACTTTGGCCCTTCGCGTGGGAGGCAAGCGCGATAACCGTTAGGCTACGGCCGCTTTTTTTTTTTTTTTTTTTTGTAAAATGTGTTTATTTACATATTAAAAGCATTACAGAGGGCCACCTTGGCCAAAGAGCACTCGCACAAAATGAGACGTTATTACATATGCATAACCCGGTACATTCACATAGAGGTTTGAACATTATACAATGTCTAGTGCTTAAATGTTCCTCTTTTTACCATATAGTTTCTTAAAGCGACTTGCATCGCTGGCCATGACTCAAAACCCGGCATTTCAGTGTGTTCCAGGAGGCTACTGGTGTATGCAAAGTTGTCAACAAAGTGGTGCCAAGCAGGTTTGCCCTTTTCTAACACCAGCGTGTGGTCCGTTCGAGATCTCCAGATGGCGTGCAACCCGAGCAGCAATAGCACTTCTGTGCATTTTTTATTTTCACCCATCTCCACTTGAAGATATTTCAAGTTCTCCCAGTTCAACTGTGCACTGATGTTAAAAGCATTTCGAAGTTCAGACCAGAATATTTCCGCATTAGTACAGAGCAGAAAAACGTGTTGCAAAGTCTCCGGGAAAGGACACAGTGCACAATAAGTCGACCATGCTACAAAGAACCCTTTTCTCTCAAGCCATGTTTTAACAGGCAGCACTTCTACATGAAATTTTACGAAGAAGTCTTTGATGCTTGTTTTTACAGGGAATTTACGCAATCTTTTGAATACACTCGATCCTTCTGAATTTCCCGGTGGGGGGCGGTACATTGGAGGTGGAATGACTAAGTCAACAGTATCCCAATACAGCCTTTTTCTGTTCACTTGGATTAGGTAGTCCCAGGAAAACCTGGCGTGGAAGAAGTGGATCGCATCATTAATTTCTTTATAAAATCTGAGTACTGGTGCTTTCATTGAGGCTTCTTCCGTACTTACTATCCAGGAGGGCAAGTACCGTCCCCCTAGACGTTTTAGCGCTCGTGTTGACACCGGATTAATCTGGTCCCGGAAAAACAGAAAGCGTTGAACTTTTATTTTTAACTCTAGGTTCACAAGCCCCAAACCGCCTTTGAACAGGCTCAGAAACAAATTGGTTCTACGCATTCGTTCAAATAAAGATTGCCAGATGAACGTGGCACAAAGTCTGTGGAATTTATGGATCTCTCCTTGCCGGGATGGTATAATTTGTGCCGCGTACCATACACTCGAGAAAAAGACAGAATTACAGACAAACGTTCTGTTAAAAAGAGAGAGATGTCTTCCATACCATTCGTTCATTTTGCCGTTAACCTTGTTTAAATGGATACCTTCATGGCCAGTGCTCAAGGATTCCGTCGCCAGTCGAATACCGAGGTAATTATCGAGTGAGCAAGACCACTTTATTCCCATATATTCCTCTGGTTTGAACGTCCACGGGCCAAGCCAGGATCCGGTCGATTTAGAGGTGTTCATGGCTGCTCCTGATAGTTTGCAGAAGTCCTTTATATGATTCAAAGCCAGTTCCAGCTCTAGCTTCGACGAACAGATCAAAGCGACGTCGTCTGCGTAGGCTAATATTTTGGTCGGCTCGGAACCTAGATTAACACCACAAATATTGACATCGGTCATGATTGATCTACACAGAGGTTCCAAATATAGAGCAAATAACAAAGGCGACATCGGGCATCCCTGCCGAACTGACGATTTGACCTCTATCGGGGCAGTTTGTTGTCCGTTCACTAACAG